CAATCTTTTATATGTTGGTCTATATTTTGCTATTTAACCGACGCGGGATTTATCCCTTAACATGCTCCGCAAGATAGTGGCTCCTTTGAGTAGACCAATATTGAAATTCGCAAGCTCATTTTTTTGGATCGTGGTCGGATCGAATTGTTCGTTAAAATTTAATGGACTCTAATATCATATTAAGGCTTGCGAGTCCATAGTAAAAGGTGAAACTTATTAAGATGAGTAACTCAATCTTTTTTTATGTTTGTTTATATTTCGATATTTAACCGATGAGAAATTTATCCATCAACGCTATATGTCTTTTTTAGTTATTAACGTTGCTTTTCCTCTATAATTTTTAAGGATTTTTTAAAAACCAAACAAAGTATTTTGGCTAATGAATATTGCTATGAAATGTGGATGAAAGAAAATAAAGAATACAATACACATAATATTTTATAAACCACATTAGACAACAAATGACTCTATAGGTCACCTTATTCTTGTTACAAGAAAAACTAGCACGGCTAACGGCCCACAATCAACCTTGTTACAGGCCTTTAGAGGCCCTCCATCTCACCCATCCAGTCTATCCACCAGGTGTGCACGAACTGATTTCGTGGTACCACGTGGCTGACAAACTAAATCTATATCAGGTTGAACTGAATTGATATTGGACAAACCAAATTCAATACTCGAATCGAAACGCTGCTCATCTCGTAGACGATCCGAAATCATCGGCCACACATGACGGATGCAAAGGCCCGCATTCGCCACACCCCATATTCACTTTCCCACGCCTTCCAAGATCTTTTGTAAGAGGATCTCCCCAAAATCAAATCCTTAGTATGGCTGATGGGACATGTGGCAAACTCCAAACGGTCAATTCACATTGATATGTCAAGAAACATTTAATACCCGTCGCCTACGGATGGACTGATTGACACCCGGGATCCGAAGCCACGTGTCCCTACATCCAACGGTTATCCTCCCCTTTCCTTTTTGTATAAATATTCCCTCATTAAGGTAAATGAGGGGCTTTTTCCCTTTCTCTTTAGCTCTTTGCCTTAGAAAATAATCTCCTTATCTCTAAAGAACCCATCACCATATTCATCCACATTCTCAGCCACGTCCTAGTGACCGCTTCGGCGTCGGAAGTCACTTTCCGGTTTACAAAGTCACTAATTTGACTGTCGGAGTGCTCGCGACCGCTTCGACCTCTACCGAAAAGGGCCACGAGTGACTAACGGTGTGTTACCGTGCGCGGGAAGGAGCTTACGTGGAGTATTATTCTATTGGTCACGTGTCGTGACCATTTATCTCAACAAACCTCATGCTATGAAG